ACCGAGCGCTGTGTAAACCGCACATCCGGCATGGAGCACTCACACCGCGGGATGGTCGGCGGTGTGTTCCCCCCGTCATCCAGAGTCGAGATGGACGCGAAGAGACAGCTCAACAGATCAGCTTTCTCCTTTGCGGCATGGGCCAGTGAGTCGTCCACTCTGTACAGAGATGGAAGAGATGGCTGACAGAAGTTCCCTTGGACAGCCTTGGCGAGAGACCAGAATGCACGAGTACCCGAAGGAAGGCGAACTAGCTTCTCGCTAATTCTGCCGATGTACTCAGACCTTGCCTTGAAAATGACGCTTTTGAAGGACCTGGAGGCGGAGTTATAATTCTTTTTAAGTGCGCTGGTGTTTACGTCCCGAGACTTTGATGCGTCAGCCCAGGCCCGGTAGCACTCCTGATTATAGCGTGATGCTATTTTACAGGAGCGACCAAACCATGGCTGGGATCTGCCACCGATGGGCACCACAGAGGGTGGAATAAAAAGTTCCATACCCTGAAGTACTACATCAGCAACAGAATCGGCAACAACGTTGGGATCTTCCGGCGAGAAGCAAACCCGCCCCCAAGGGTAGGATGCAAAAAAAAGACCGCATCCCGTCCCAATCAGCTGACCTATAGTGCCAAACACGGCGGCAAGCTGCAGATTGCAACTGTGATTGGAGCGTGAGTGGCACCGTACTCCGGATCAGACAATGGTCCGAAGAGCCCAGAGGGGCATCGACGGAGACCTGATATCCGTCCGGATGAGAGGTCAGCAGAAGGTCCAACAGGGAAGGTACATGGTCTTCCACATCTCAGATCCGCGTAGGCGAAGTAACCAGTTGTGTTAGACCATATGCCAAGCCAAAGTAATAGACAGATTTACTCGCATGATCGGACCCGCATGTTTAACCAAACCAACCAAGAGAACCAAGCCATTTAGCGTGGTGGGCGTTAAAATCACCGAGTATCACGATCTCTGCGGATGAGACCTGTAATAGCACGGAGTCTGCAGCCATTTGGACGTGGTAGATGAGTCGGTCTGTGTCGGCATTACCGCTATGGGACCTATAGGGACACGCGTAGATGCGGGGTCGTCGCTGTCTACGCGCAGTCATAGGATGGACAGGTCCGTACCTGCCGACTGCCTTCAAGACTGCCGAGGAGTCGAAAACAGATGTCCTCTCTGACGTATACGCAAACTCCAGCCCAGGGCACAAAGGAATGTTCTAATTTGTATCCCGGGTAGGAGAGATATAAAGTATCAGCCGGAGAGGACACCTGAGTCTTGGTTAAAAAGAGTAATGGACAGCGTTAAGGTTGGAATGAAGTCCGCCGATATTGCAAAAATTCACGGATAGCGTGACAGGGGTCGCCTTGGTTTTATTGCCCCGCTTTTTTTTTCGTGGGGAAATCCTCATGGATACCTCCGGCTGCGCGGACAACCGGAAGGTTATGCCGGACTCCTACCGGCTAAAACCCCACGGTGGTCTCCATCAGCGTGTACGAGGGGTCCCGGGATCTCCGTTCGGAACGCAACCGGGGCCCCTCTCTCGCTTCGCTTTATTGGAAGCACGTCCCAGGGGCAGAACTTACTACCCCCAGCACCCTCGCAGTGCTATCACGATGTCTCGGGACCACTTCCGAGCCATCGTTCTCCTCAGGGGTTACGTTATTAGGCATTCGAGGCCCCCGCTCCAAACACCTGCAACCCCAGAGGCCCCGTTTCTGGTAGGGGAACACCATCTTCAAAGGGAGGGCCGTGACGAACGCCTTGATGACGTCGTCTCCGAGTGGGACCTGTCCTCCTCCGATCCTGCTCAGCAGCCTCCTTCTGGACCATTACGGACTCACAGAAGGTGGCTACGGCCCTCCACGCCGAGTCCCCGCTCAACATCGCCGACATGACTGCTGGCAAGGGAGAGGTCCCGACCGACCCGTTTTACCTGGATCATTCGCTCCCGATCCCACGCTGCACAAACCGCCAGCGTATGGGACGCGGAGTCCTGATCCTGTCCACCGCAGTGGAAGCAGTTCGCCGTCGCTTCGCGTCTGATCTTACACAGATAATTACCGGGCACGGGTGCTTCGGTGTCTGTAGGTGAGTCTTCCTACTCGTCGCTGCTTCCAGGCTTCGAAGACCGGCAGGATTGCGCCAATAACGCATGTTTGCGTGCAACGCGCTCCTCGTTAATGCTCCTGCCGTTTTATAGACTCGAGCGCCTCATCTGGTTCACTGCCACCACTCTGCCGGAGGATGCGGATTCGGTTGTACACCCTCGTATCCATATCCGCCGGTATATCTAGGGGTGGGAAGCGAGCCAGGACTGTTGCCGCCTCAAAAGATATCGTGCGGTATCCCCGCACGATCCGTATAGCCATCCTCCGCTGGACACTGTAGATTTTAGATCTGCAGCGCCGGATGGCTAGCCTTTTCGCCCACACAGGTGCCCCGTATAAGGCTACGGACCGTACTACCCCCGCATAGAGGCGGCGTATTTCCTCCCTCGGTCCCCCTAGATTAGGCAGCAGTCTGTGCATAGCACTAGGGGGGACTAGGCGCTCAAAGTGCTCTTCGAAGCCCCAGCAACTGTCCAGGTGGAGCCCTAAGTACTTAATGTACCGCCCCACTCAGACTACAGACCCACCCACGTAGACGCACGAGTCGGGTGGTACCCTGCTCCGAGGTAATTTGTGAAACCATAAGGCCTCGGTCTAATGAGGCGCTATTTCTAGACCCAACTCGTGGATTTTGTTTATTTGGGAATTGGGCCTCCGGCCACCTGCATTCACCAAGCACAACGCAGAGGTAAACCTCTACTTCGCGCTGGTATTCTATAAGGTCCTGGTACCACCCCTGTTGCCGCGTGGCTCTACCACTGTTAACACCTCGCGTACCTTACTCCTGTTTTTCTGAAATTCTATTTGACGCCAAGCTTCATTATATTATTTAAACCATCAAGGAGAATAAGTTCTGCAATACACGCTGTAAAAAAATTAGCAGTCTCACTAGTGATCAAACAGGGGAGTAAATATATTGTAGTTATATACCGTATGCAGAATGCAGAGGCGGATTAAATGTCGAGAGCGCCCCAGGCTAGCACCACATCAGCGCCCCTCTAGCGGCTATATATTATAAATATATGGAATCTTGTATCATCTCAATCTATTGCTTACATTTCTATTAAGCGAGAAGACTCACCGACGCACAGTATTCTCGGGGGAGCACAAATCCGCTCTATACACATTCTACACGGAACAAAAAATTAAAATCACTACGGCAACCGATCCCACGCTCGCTGTGGATTTTTGCAACATAAGAGGGACATCTTTTAAATCTTAACGCTGTTCACCACCATTTCGAGATGGCTAAGCTGGGGTTGCTTTCCTTCACCGCCCCCGCGTCGATAGGATGCCTTTATAGGTCTCACAGCGGTAATGCCGAGACAGACCGACTCATTAACCACGTCCAAGTGGCTACAGATTTCTTGCTACAAATGATCCCATTCGTATAGATCGTAATCCTTGAAGATTTCAACGCACACCACGTTGAATGGCTCGGTACTTGTACTATGGATCACGCGGGGACTGTTTGGACATCTGTTTACGACTTCGCCTTGCCATATGGCCTGACATAACTGTCACTTCACCCACGCGGATCCAGATGTGGAAGATCATGCACCTTCCCTGTTGAACTTTCTTCTAACCTCCGATCTGGACAGATATCTGGTCTCCATCTATACCCCTCTTGGCTCTTCGAATCACTGACTGATTTGTAGGCTGTCGCAGTGTGTGGCACTATGGTCAGCGGATTGGGATGGTATGCGGGCTTTTTATGCATCCTACACGTGGGGGGCGATTCCCAACATTGTTGCTGAGTCTATCGCTAATGCACTACATTAGCGACTCACTCAGCAATATTCAAAATTCAGGGGATGGAAATATTCATCCCGTCATCTGTAATGCGGGCCAGGATGCAAACACTAGTGCACTCAAAAAGAAGTACAACTCTGCCTCTAAAGAGTTATCGCTAGAGCAAAGTCGGAACACATTGAGAGAATGGTGAGAAACTAGTTTGCCTTCCATCGCGATTTCGTGGATTCTGTTCTCTCGCCAAGCCTACTCAAGAGAATATCTGTAAACTATCATTATCATTTCTGAGCAAGGTGGATGACTCGCTGGCACAGGCCGCAAAGGATAAAGCTGATCTTTCGGGTTCTATTTTAGCATCTAACTAGACTCTCGATGAGAGGGTAATCTACTGCCGACTGTCCCGCAGCATTAATGCTCAAAGCAGGATATTCGGTTCACACAGTGCACAGTGCGTAAAGCACTTATAGTCCCCAGGCGTTCATAAATGGAGTGGGCCTCATAGGATCCCCCAATTTTGCTGACGTGTGCTCCAGAGTTAACAGTAGCACCGGTTCTAACGCGTCATTTCCGGTTCTCTTACTCCTTAGGCATCGTTCTAAGTCTTACATGAGCTCGGAACGATACCACAGCCTCAGTGCAACCGATCCCTAAAAAAGTAGACCGCTCAGACTCGTCTAACTACAGGCCTATCGCCATCACCTCCAAAATAATGGAATCCATTATTAACTACCAGATCGTGAGGTACCTTGAAGAGTGTCAGCTTATTAGTGACCGTCAATTCGGTTTCCGTAGAGGTCGCTCAGCTGGTGATCTTCTTGTTTTACCTGACTCACCGATGGGAGGAAGCAGTCGGTAGACCAGGTGGTAGATCCTGGCGGTTAATTTGGACGTAGCAAAAGCCTTCGATTGAATTTGGCACAAAGCGCTTCTTTCACAACTTCCCTCTTATTATGGGCTTCTCGAGAAATTTTACAATTGGGGCACCATAAACCCCATCATGATCTGTAACATGATGAGGTTTATGTCTATGTAGCAATCTAGATGGAGGCATGTTCAGCAGTGGCCTGATTGGATATACGTTTATGATGATGATGACGATGATGAACCTATATAAAAGTAATATATTTTAATATATTTCCAGGATGATGATCGAAGAAGAGGTGGCATTACGCTGACTCGATATCAAGAACTGTTCGCCCAGTTTCTCGGTGACCAAAGTGACGACTGTCCAGCAAAACATCTGTTCGGACCCTTAGAACTATAAATATGTGTTTGTGTAATGTGCATTAAGTGCTGAAAATGAACTGTGTGAATTATTTTTACGGGAATTTTTTCAACTTGTTTGTTAGCAGTTAAGTGTTACTTTTGTACTATGTATTTAAAAGAAAATTTATTCTTGTATTTAAAAATTATATGTTATTATTGTTATACATATTGTTAGTAAACATATGTTTAAAATCATTATTAGGTGCCGCTCACAAGGACGTTGTTAAACATAGACTTAAGTAAGAATAAAAAAAGCACTGCCCAGGAACTACATAATATTATGTATTCCTTGAGAGTCTAATAATTTGTATATTTTACTTTTATAGTAACTAAAAACTAAATACCTACTTGAATAATAATGATATTATATTCAATGAAAAAATATCAGTTATTAACCGACTTCAAAAAAAGAGGAGGTACTCAATTCAACTGTATCCTCATAACTTTTTTCTAGGTGAACCGATTTTAATGATTATTTTTTTATTTCAAAGCTGGTGCTTCCCATGTGGTTCCATATAAATTGATTGATCTAGGTCTGATCAGTAGTTTTGAGATAACCTTAATAATTTATATTTTGAAGTCTGTTAAACAAAATTTTTAATTTTACCACTTGTCACTCTACTATCTATCCAAAGACGTTCACATATATTTTTATTTTAACTGTGACCTTATTTGCCTGTTACTGATATATCCGTTCCAATTATCGGAGCACTCGTTTGAGCTCTGTATGCTCCGCTCATGGAAGGCTGCAGTCTGTTAACATTTTCAGGATCGTCCTCGCTATTACATCAGATTAGGTAAACAACAAGGATGAGTCACGAGGCTATTGAAATTTAAAAAATCTTTTCAAAGAAGATGACTGGGGTACCCCTATCCCGTTTGGGATACCATAGTTAATAAAGTTACATCCAAACTCGACCATACCACTGCGAGACTTCAAAATAGTTATTCTTTATACAATTGAATTATTTTTAAATTATAATTAATAATTTAATAATTATTTAATAAGTTCGTTCTAATCGGCCCAAAACTTAATATTGAAAGGTGAAGAGCTCCTTCATCGAGTTAACTATGAAAACAGGGCATCAAACGCCTCAGTCAACCTTCCCCCACGTTTAAAATAGACGTTCAACGTTGGAAATCACAAAAGGTACAAAGGATTAAAATTAAACACACTAAAATCAGTAAATTTAGTTTTATTTAATGTAAACCTAATATTCGCGTAAAGTAAAAAAATCACTGAATACATTGTTTTGGTTGAGCTGAACTCGGCAAGCTTTCATATTTGAAGATTAAACGTGAAACTGCAGCTTGGCGGGTTAATAAAATTCATCACCACATTTCATCCCGCGGTTGTCGAAAGAGGTGACAATGGAAAATACTGAAACGGCCATGGTTTCGATAGATTGCGGTGGAACCATTGCAAACGTAAAACATGCAAACCGACGGCGGGCAGTGCTCGTAACATCACAGGTGCGAGACGTATGTTGCTGCGATGGCCAATCCGCTGTCAAGTCTACCGATTATGGCATATATTCCTTACAACTGGAGATGGCTATTTCCAGCAGTGGAGTTTTGTGAGCTGATGATGACGAAACCTTTACATACGTCTGGATCTGGATCTAACACAAAGCAGCGAAGACTTTGTTATATCCTAAAACCGATTGGGATTTCTACACTAGTTTCTGTATTTCTCTTGTGTAAACTCTCTTTAATTCCGAGCACACAGACAAAATGATTTTACAATATAATCCAAAGTTACACCTTATTGGATTGTAATTTACTCAACATCTTCAAATTATCTATAACAACAAAGACTTAAAAGAACATACACAATTGTAAATAATACGTGACGTCAGTGAAAGATGTAGAGGTGAATGCTAAAATTAATATATGTCTTCCCGAAAAATATCGCTAAAAATAACCATCACAAGAGCGCTTGAAAAAGAAACAGTGTGTTATTAAGATGTTAGTACATCGGCGTCGGAAAATACATACAGTTTGTAGAAAATATTAATAGCGTGAGAGCGGACGTTCATTCAACTTATATTTATATTCAATTCTTAATAGCAACGAAGCTAATATACGAGTAATATATAGAAAACCAGAGAGCACTTTTACTGACAACGCATCTGCATTTTGATTCTTAATCGATGTGCACCCTACTGTTATAACTATTATAATTGACTACATAGTTGCGCGGGCTAGACTAAATAAAAATAGGTAAAAAAACTTTTTAAGTTAAACGGTTTTATGTTAAACATACATTGCAATGTTTAAGATAAATGTACTAAAAACCAAAAAATAATAAAATAGATACAGTCGTGGGAATTATAAACATATGCATAGACTAGACTAAAATAAAACCGTGGGGCACGTCAATTGTCTACAATCGTTGATTAAAATGTTTGTTTTGTAATGTTACACTATAATTACGCAGTTGTTCAACCGACAACGATGGACGTGTGATAAGTAGGGCTAGAATGTGGAAACAAGCTAGCAAGCTCGATTATAAGCGAGTTTTAGGGTTTCATAGTGGTGAACGAGTAGTACTTTTATCATATGTTTTGTCGATTAAAGACAAACTACGAGCAGTGAAACGATTCCTCGCCAGCCAGCAGTGTGAATGTCCAACGATAAACTAGTTGAAACATCTCTTTTATTTACATGGAGTGTATAACTATTGGAATTTCCATGAGCAAGAAAATAGTAAGTAATTTCCTCACCGTCTGCGGGCCAACTGCCTATTTTAACGACGAATTAAACGATTCTTCTATCGCACATTAAGTCGATAATTTGTAGACAATTGACGTACCCCACGGTTTTATTTTAGTCTAGTCTATGCATATGTTTATAATTCCCACGACTGTATCTATTTTATTATTTTTTGGTTTTTAGTACATTTATCTTAAACATTGCAATGTATGTTTAACATAAAACCGTTTAACTTAAAAAGTTTTTTTACCTATTTTTATTTTCTTGTTTTTAGTTTTTATTTCGCATTCTGTTTAATTCATTTAGTGCTTCATTATTGCAAGGTTTCTTGCCCGTTAGTTTATTGCAGTCCAACTCCTCTATACGTAGTCCCTGCAAAGATCTTACACTACTAAGAGACACGTAGGCTTGACCTTCTTCAAACAGTTTCGCACCTAAGTATACGACTGCGTGATCCACAGTGCTGCCCTGCATTTTATGTATTGTAGAAGCCCATGATAGTATTAAAGGCAACATTCTTCTTTCAGCCGTCCCGTAATTGTACTTAGCTGGAAACTGTATGGCTTTCGGGTGTATAAGATGTACTCCGTCTCTTGCGAAATCAATTCGGACGGAAGGTACATCTGTTGCATACATCTGAGTTCGACGAAATTGAGGCCAAACGATTTCGTTGATGTAGCCTATAGCGCCATTTACTAATCCCTTTGAAACGTCAATATTGGACCGTAGCATGACTTTTGCCCCCACAAATATTTGCAGTTCCGCTGGTAAAACCCCAGTTTTGTTGATACCAGCTGGTATTATAGTAGCTATATCCACATTGTCTGCATTTCGTGTGGCGTGTACTAGCTGATCCTGCGCTTTTATTTTGTAAATGCGAGCACCATTATTTCTGTACAAATTCAATACAGCAGAGTTGTGGTCGTTAACTTGTTGATTTGTGGGGTATACCCTTAACGCTTTGTCTATTGCAAACTCATCACTCGTGTCGTGAAGAAGTCTTCCCATTAAAATACTAAAATGTTGGGTTGTTAGCTCACCGACTCTCAAAGCATTCAAAATATCAATAAAAGTCTGGTCACCTTGCTGACGCATATTTTCAGTTAATTCACACAGCGTGAATAAACGCCAGAGATGTGTAGCTGGTTGGAGATGTTCTGGCTGTTTGAAAACAGGTGTTCCTGATCGTTTTATAGGAGGCAGTTGTAAAAGATCACCGAAAAGTAATACGTTTACTCCTCCAAAAAACTCATTTTCACAGTTCTTAATTTGCCTTAATCGAGCGTCCATCATGCATAACATTTGATAAGACACCATGGAAATCTCGTCCACAATCAAAAATTCTATCTGATGCCATTGTTGCCTCATTATTCGCAAATAGTTTCCGGACAGTGGTGACATACCTGTTATGCGACCGTCTTTCTGTACAGGCAATTTTAAAGTACTGTGTATCGTAGCTCCATTTATTAATCTAGCTGCAACTCCTGTTAGTGAGCAGACTTTAACCGCATCCTTTGCGTAGCACCTATTAATTTGGTCTCGTAATAACTTTAATAGAAAAGTCTTGCCCACACCAGCTCCTCCTGTAAAGAATATTTTTAAACGTTCTTCAGCACCTGACATTTGATTTTGTATGGACTGGGTAACTAATGTAAAAATTTCCTTTTGTCCTGCATTCATAGACTGCTTAGCCTGTAAGAACTGGTCTTCATTCATTGGAAAATAAGGAACTTCTTCTTCATGGTCTAGTTCCATCGGCTCTGCGTGTTCCAGTATCTGAAATGCGTGTACTTGCGCGAATGCATTTTCAAGCTGCCTGTCACGTTCACGATATATTTCCAAGTAGGCGTTTGTTTGTCTCAAACTTTCTTCGTTGGCGAGAAACGCATCTCTGGCACTATTAAATTCTCCTAAAAGTTCGGCCTCATTGCGATACGGCATATACTGGATTAGTAAACTGTAATAATATGACTCTGGATCAGAAGCTGCTACGAAGTTAGGTACCCGTACTACAGCTGGCGTGTTTCTAATAGTCATTTTGGTGTTGTCTGTTAGTTATAAGACGCCTTCTTGTTGTTTGCTCGTGCGGTGCATAAGCATCGGTATCGATGCTCTCTTCATTTATAACTGGCGGTTTTGTGTAGTGTGGCTCAAATAACATCGCAAATTCTATGAGACACATATTGTTAAAATCATAGTTGGGATGCTCTGCTGGTCGCTTTTCATATCGTTCGAAAATATTGGCACAATATCCTTTCATTAAACTTCAACACTTTATACCTT